CGATAGAGCTTAAGTTTAAAAAATTTGGCTCTCAAAAGAAATTTCAGTCGTTGTGCTGTTGACATTTGGCTCTGTTGACTGATGAATTTGCCGGCCAGTGGCCTAGAGGAAAATAGAGCTCGTCATAGAGTCACAGGAAGAACCACTGACCACACCCCGTTACGGGCACAGAAGGGCCGCGAGGGAGGCTGTGAGCGCTGGCCTGCAGGCAGGGTCTGAGTGCAGCTGCAGGGGCGAGGACAAGCGTGGCTGGCGGTGGGAACAGCATGCATGGAGCTTCTGTGTTAGGAGGCGCTGAGAGGGGGGGCTCAGACCACGCAGCCCCTATGGGGAGCCCTCATGATGCTCTCGGGGGGACGGTGGCAGGAGCTTTGTACCTGCAGAACCAGTGCAGACTCGGGATGGAGCTCTGATGTGACGCCCACATTGCTCAGCGGTGGTTTGGGAAGGAAGACATCTTATGGGATATAGTTTCCCATTAAAACCATGCAGGGTTTCGCCCTGGCTGGTGGCTCAGTGGCTAGAGCGTCGGCCAGCGGACCGAAGGGTCCCGCCCGGGCGGCGGGAGGGAGGCGGTGCTGGCCCTCGCCGAGATCTCTGCCTCCGGGGCCTGCCCTGGTGGGAGGCATGTGCCAGGGGAGGTCATGCTTATGTGGGAGCCCAGTGAGGGGGGGTTGTTTTGGTGGAAAACGCCAGGCCCTGGAGGAACAGAGGCAGGAAGAGGAAGCCGGATCACGTGTGTGGCAGCCCAGACCCCCCGCTGGTCACGGGGGCGACCATGTCGCCTCAGGTGGGCTTCCTGTCTTCCTTGTCGCTCTGACCGTTCTGTGTGGGCGTAGGTGGACCATCATTCTCTGCAAACATGGGTTCCACGGACACAGTTTTGGTTCCTGCTTTCTTAGTATTTTGTCGTTAAAATTCCACTGTGGACATTGTTTTCTTCTTGCTAATCCTCCCCCGAGGATATTTTCCCATTGGTTTTAGGGAGAGCGGAAGAGAGAGGGACAAAGAGAGAGAGGGATCGATGCGAGAGAAGCACATTGATGGGTGGCCTCCTGCACGAGCCCCGACCAGGGCCCGGGCCGGGGCGGAGCC